ACGCTGGGCAATGCATATTGTAAATATTTTTTTTTATATTTCCGATTCAGCGGTACTGCCTCTTAATTCATCAGTCAGAAGTTGTTGTAAAATTATGTATAATTCTTCGAACTTTTCTTCATGTATATTATCATGATAAAATGACCAGTAAATTTAATGTTTTTTTTTTACACAAAATTTTGCTACTAAAATGCTGAAAACCGTTTTCCGTCGGGGGGGGGGGGGCTTCGCTTCGCCCCCTGAACCCCCTACCAGGGCAGAGAGCCCTGGACCTGCTGGGGGCCTTGCGCGACCCCCACACCCCTTGCCGCAATTTGTGCCTACAGCTTATTGGATACCTAGCTACGCCCCTGGTTTGCGTTATTTCGCCAATGTTTGCGTTATAACGCAATCATATGAAGATACATATATATATATATATATATGTATATAAATGTTTTGCGCTAACACGCTTCCGTACGCCTAAACCGGACTTGTTCATATTTGAACATACTGCAGATGACGGGTATTAGAATTGATCCAGTTTTTCCAAATCCCTCTACTGATACGAAATTATTTCGTGGTTGTATAAATTCCGTGTAATGGGTAAATAAAGTTTTAATTAGATAAATCCATAGAGATCACAACATTGGTCGGATCATAAGGTTAAAAGATCAGGTTTGGACAGTGTAACTATTTGGCTACAGGATTATATGTTGGTTGCCTCCAGATAAATGTAAACATCAAATTATTTACTCTAATGATTAAATGTGCTGTCAAGTTATGAACCATTTAACACCTGAAATTCTATAATTATGTCAGATTTACTTCTTGCTTGAAATAAACAAACAAAAATTAAAAAAAATATTAAAATAGTGATAAAGAGCGGAAAAGATTAGCTCAGAGTTTTTAACTATTTACACTTATCATTCGATATACACTGAAACTTAATTATTTTAAAGAATAACATAGATTGGTAAAGAAATTTCTGGACTGATTCTTATAACAAGTAAATAATTAAAAAAAAAACATTATATGAATAATATCTACACCAATAAAAACATAAAAATCTGAAAGTTTTTTTTACACAATTTACCATAACGGTTAATACTATCATAATTATATAAAATAGTTTTGAGAATGATAAAAACTTTTAAAAAAATAAAAATAAAACAAATACATATTGAAACATTGAATTCATAATTAAACTAAAATCCCGTAAAAAAATGATAACAAATTGATTAAAATTTTACACATAATATTCTTACCGTTAGTTAGCTAACATTTGGTGATCTAACTATAAATCATTGACATTTTAAATCACCTCTATTGCTTCCGTAATTGGCCAAAACCTGGTTAAGTATAAGTAATTATGAAGTGTAAAATATACTTCAAATTATTAAAAACCTCTTAAAACTGCTTTGACCTCTGATTTTTATTTAGCTTATTAATGTTAAAGCGTTTTGCTTAGATATAAATAGGAACAAATTGTTAGATTTTGAGCCCATGAGAAAATTAAATATTCATGTCAACACAGTACAACTAAAAATTAAAATAGAACCTTTCTATCCGAAATTAATTTATTAGAATAGAAGTCGTTGAACTTCTCATCTTATAATACAATTATCATTTTTCATTCAATTGAAGCTTCTTAAGACAATGTGAATATTACCTACACGAATAATGTATTCAAAAGTTAATGTATTTAAAGGTTAGGGACAAGTTTGTGTGTCATAAAGTTTGATAAATGTGTTTTAACACTTAAAAAAGCAACACTTAGAATTTGAAATAATTTTGATTTCAGTTGATGCTGTTGATATATATTGTGTCTTAAACATAGTTTTAGGAGTCTAAACTTACTTTTAGATTCTGAATTGGTAGGTTATTCCATGATCATTAATACGGCAATGTTTACCCAGATCAGACTAGGAAGAGATAAATTGAAACAAATTATCCTATCAATCAATGTCTACCAGTTCAATCAACCGTGCCTGTAGTCACAGTACACATATTTTACTTGGTTTTACTTACAACTTGCAACAACTTTTTGATATTTTGAATTTGTAATTTTCGAAATATTCTTATATCTTTTGATTCTCCATTGTTTAAAATCTAAACATTAAAGGCAATTTCTAAAGCTTAGATAACTACAAACTTTACTACGTTATTCTATTGATAAGGGAACCAATATATGGTCACAGACTGCAAAATATGCATCTCCCAAATATTAAAAAAAAAATCATAATTCATTCAGCGGAAACAACCAAAATTAACTATAACAAAACCAATGAAAAATAAAAAAAAAATAGATTGGAATGACCAACATTTATCAACATTTACCTAAATAATAACCGTCTTACAAAGTTACCACACGTTTAAATAACTCTGCATCCTATAGAAAATTCTGTTACTTAACTATGAATAAAGGGAAAAGTAGGGTATACGTGAATGAGATAGCAGTCCAACGACACAAAGTGACCAGAAGACATCTAGAGCAGTCCAACGACACATAGTGACCAGAAGACATTTAGAGCAGTCCAACGACACAAAGTGACCAGAAGACATCTAGAGCAGTCCAACGACAAAAGTGACCAGAAAACATCTAGAGATAGCAGTCCAACGACACAGAGTGACCAGAAAACATCTCGAGATAGCAGTCCAACGACACAAAGTGACCAGAAAACATCTAGAGATAGCAGTCCGACACAGAGTGACCAGAAGACATCTATAGATAGCATTCCAACGACACAAAGTGACCAGAAGACATCTAGAGATAGCATTCCGACGACACAAAGTGACCAGAAGACATCTAGAGATAGCAGTCCAACGACACAAAGTGACAAGAAGACATCAAGAGATAGCAGTCCAACGACACAACGTGACCAGAAGACATCTAGAGATAGCAGTCCAACGACACAAAGAGACCAGAAGACATCTAGAGATAGCAGTCCAACGACACAAAGTGACCAGAAGACATCTAGAGATAGCAGTCCAACGACACAAAGTGACCAGAAGACATCTAGAGATAGTAGTCCAACGACACAAAGTGACAAGAAGACATCTAGAGATAGTAGTCCAACGACATAAAGTGACCAGAGGACATCTAGAGATAGCAGTCCAACGACACAAAGTGACCAGACGACATCTAGAGTTGGCAGTCCAACGACATAAAGTGACAAGAAGACATCTAGAGATAGCAGTCCAACGACATAAAGTGACCAGAAGACATCTAGAGTTGGCAGTCCAACGACATAAAGTGACAAGAAGACATCTAGATATAGCAGTCCAACGACATAAAGTGACCAGAGGACATCTAGAGATAGCAGTCCAACGACACAAAGTGACCAGAAGACATCTAGAGATAGCAGTCCAACGACACAGAGTGACCAGAAGACATCTAGAGATCAACTTACGTTCTTCGACAATGGATAGATGTCTATACACTGTGTCAAGCTCTAAATCTCCCCAAGTTAGAAAAGTAGCGACCAAATTAGCAGATACTATGAGAGATCTGCAACAACACATTTTCCAAAGTGACATAAACACTTTATGACTAATGACATCCACTTACGAGGTTCTCGACTTTGGACAGGCACGTGTAAAATGTAAACTTCTTAAAAAAAATTTCACAATGTCTGTTGAGCATGACTTGAAGTATGTGATCACGTAGCAATAAATGTTATAGAATTATATTAGGTACTTGTTTTTTGTTTATGTTTTTTTTCCCAATCATATTGTGCATATTGCTGTTGTAAAATGATGCCCTTTATGGGTTCTTGATTAGAATAATAAAATTCTCATTCTTCTTGTTATAATAACAATATTGTTTTTGAATCATTGCTTCTTGCTTTTTTCCTTTTGAAGGGAGGTGGTGTATCAATTAGTCTAATTTGCAACTTGAAACACGACTTTTATATTTCTTTTAAGTTCGGATTATTTCTGCATTTTAAATCTGTAAACAATTAACCTTGGACATTGCACAAGGTGTGGCGTCCTGCTCTTTTCATTTTTAGTTGTCGTCGAAGGTACCCCTTTAGTCCCTCTCGACTTCTTTGAAGCTATTAAATACCATGTTCAACATTTTCTACATGTTCCGTTCAGGTCATATCATGTCTGTACCTAGTAACTCAACATGCAGTATACATGTAACGTTGGTGTCTATAAATGGCAATTTTTAAGTAAAAGTTGAATTGAAAATTCTGTATGTTCCCCTCTAGACGTCTTTTGGGGTTATTTTAGATTGCTATCTTATTTACGTATATCCCACATCTATTATTTATTGTAGATATACTTTACCAGGACGAGTAACGTTTAGGTTGGAAGAGTCAGTTCTAAGACCAAAAAGCATTAGGAAACATTTTTAGAGGATTCGACCTAAAAACTTTATTATGAATGCAAGATAAATGTACATTGTTTTCTCCAGAAACTGTAAAACACACAAAATTGTTTAAATTAGGAGACCTTATACGAAGATGCTTCATTTGGAGCTGAACAGGATACAAAGGTAACACATACTCTATTAGACCAGTCTGGTCTTCCCTAGCCAATAAAATTTGTGAAGTAACCAGAAAAATATCGTTATAAGTCTGTAAAATGATATTCTGCTAAAACCATGGTAATACATTAGTATTTACACCCGTGATGATTCAATGAAACAGGAAAAATAGGTAAACAAATATAAATACAATAAGCTTATAAAGTAACTTGTAGAATAGAGATAAGACAATGCATGCAATTACCCCTTTTCCAAAGTTTCTTGCAGCTGAGATTTTTTTTTGAAACATTGTCTTATCTTAAATGATCTTGCCTATTCCTTTGACTAAAAGGAATGTCCTTTCCAGCATCACTACCTTTTTTCTCAAGAAACAGTTGTTGCATCCACAGATCCTTAACGGTGGAGGTTGCCTCATTTAACTATCATATAATCAAAATTATTGTTTTGTTTACTTTAAGTATATTTCAATGTTTTGACGTCAAACAAAGTACGTCAATAAAGACACATAACATGTAACAGTACTTACATTAACTTGTATTATCCCTTGTTTATCCATTTATCAACTAATAATTCACAGTTTTTAAAATCGTTAAAAGTTTTTTTCGACCTTAAGCCAGCCACCGAAGCTTAATTTTCATTCAGTCCGGTAGACTTGCGGTCAGTATGTTGGCCAACACATAAATCAGAATCCTCATCTCTCTATAAATTACACACCTAAGAAGACCAGTTTGACATATTTACCTGAGCAGGTATTTACATGTTTAATGTAATTAATTTTTGGATGATTTAAAATTACATGTAAATTTTGTGTAGATCTGTATAAAGATAACATTTAGAATTGTATTTTAACACCTTTCCCTTATTTTCAAATCTTTATTCTTAAATCTCAGAAAACACACAGGCCGTTTAAATATACAATCACATACAAAGGTAGTTTATTCAAAAACCTACGCATTTAAATATACAGTGATATAATTAAATTCGACTTTTAAACTCCACAATTTAACTTTTTGATTTAAATTATTCATGACATAGACTTACTTGTTGACATTTTATTACTGCTCGTACTTAGAATCCCTTCTTTAGAGAACACACGTGGAGGTCTCATTGAATGCTCATTAGTTTAGACATACAAAATGTTAAACATCACTAATATGAAACTATATATTAGCTTGCGATATACTTTCATCCCTAGAGGGTTAAGTCGTTTTTGTGAATCGCGAATTTAAATACAGAAAAATCAAGTATGAAGACACCATACTAAATGGAAAGAGATCAAATATCAGTATGTTCTCCTCACACATGGGAAATGGTTCAAAATTAATTGAGACGATGCTTAACGTCTCGAAAGTCATTACAAGGACTGTGGATTTAGTTATTACTGAGAATCATCGACAACAGATAAAAAACGAGACAAATTATTGCGGTTCTGTAATAATAAATAAAATATTATCAGCAAAAAATAACGCGAGTTTTATACTATTTAGAATTCGTACAATAATTGAGTTTTCAACTTACCTCTCCTAATAATTTCTGTTAGTGTTTTGGTCATCATCCAAGCAAATATCAATTGATATATTTTTCCTAATTACATTTAATATGATTTTTATCTTCTGTTATTTTCTTTTATACATTCAATGATTATATCCTGTAAGGAAAACATTAAACCAAATTAGATATATATCAAAAACGATAAACACATATACATGTAATTCAAGTTTCGTAAAATCAACAAATATAGGATTGTCGATATTGTTGAATGTTTTTCATTCGTTTATATATTTTCTTTTAGCAATCTTTCTTAAATAGACTTTTTAAAGGCGACTTCAATTTTGGTTAAAGTGATAATTTTAGGTCGATCGTGTAAATTGGTTTAAAGAGAGTATTTCACGGTTTAATTTCGGTTAAATCATCCGTCGACAACGGACAAAGATCAGTAGATCTGGTTTGAGTCTCCAATGTAAAAAGAACATTTTACAATTTACAGTTGACGATAACATGCGTGTCTTGACAAATTCTGACAATTCTTGGTGTGGGCGATTTTGATTTTATTATAGAAAGTGATAGAAAAAGAGGGAGAGTATACCAAGGGGACAATCAAAATGTCAAATAAAAACACCATGGCCAAAAAGAAAAACAGCGAAAGACAGTCAACAAAAAAATACACAGAAAACTTAAAATTGAGTAATACGAACAACACAAAAAACCCGCGGATGAACTCAGGTACCCCCAAAGTGGTCAGCAGTTTCTGCTCCACTAGTGACATCCGCGAGTAAGATTTTTATTCGTTTAATTGGGAAATGTTTCACAATAAATGAGCAATGCGTCGTTGCTATGCTTTAACACTATGCCAGTTTCCACGTATTCCATATGTATACCTGCCTATTACGTTGTCGTTTGAAAACAAATGTCAATTCCTTTATCAAATAAAACAGCTTTACATGGTTAATCTTTGTAAAGGATAAATTTTTGAAGCTTATAAAAGCACTCTGAATTCACTAAAAAATGTATAATATAAGTATTTATGCCTGACATTTCTGAAATGTGAGAAAAATAAATACTAACTGGGACTTGATTATACAAGTTCACGCTGACATCATCAGATTGATGTCACGAGAAATTTTTGAAAAAGGCCGAAATCAGGAATTGGTTTAAAGTTGGCAGCACCGCGCAAAGTTTTCTTGGAGGGAGATAATCGTAACATACACATCCTGTTTACAACTCCTTTTGGGACAAGTTTTCTTTTTTGATTACTTGATGACCAGATCCATTCTTAGGACTGAATACAAAACATAAGTTTAGTTATTGATTTACCATAAGTTACATTGTACTGGTATTATATTACAAGTTTTTTGTTGGCATTACAAGGCAATTGTTAATCAATTTATATGCACTTTTTTGTCAAACTGTTAATATTTTGAATAATTTGTCATTTTACGGTATTCGCTATCCTTTCATTGCTGGATAACCAAATGGACAAGAAATATCTTAAAACACAATTATTAGTATATATTTTTACATGGCATAAATTCTTAAATTAACTAACAAGGGCTTTGAATGCAAATCGTGAATTTCATTTGAAAACATAACTTCATAAAAATGAGATACGCATACAAAACGAAGATATTTGTACTTGTTATCGTGTATTCATTGTTTACATCATGTCAATTGGCAAAGTGTAAAATCTTGTCTGGACTGGACATGATTAGAAAACGCTTCAAGGACTTTTTATCTGAAATTAGTCATCTTTATTATTTTAAAAGTAATAATTTCATACTTTATACTTGACATGTATATTAACCAACACCAGAGGGTGTGTCATAATGTTTGTACAACTTCATAGGTCAAAGTTCAAGGTCAAAACTTAATAAAGTGCTTCATATTAGCTTATCCATACTAATATTTTACCACACGTTATTTACAGCGGGGCCCACAGAGATGGCTCCCATCTCAATGATGTCTAGTATGATCTTATATTGAACCAATCTAATCCAACATGATGGCAGTCCTACATCTATCCCTAAGAAAGTGCACCAAAATGAATCTTGATAGAATATAACCCAATATCTGTACCATTTCATTAAACAATATATTTTCAAATAAATATGTCATTTCTATTATAATTTGCTTGTCGATAACTATACCACATGTTTTGTTTTACTCTGTCACAGGATGTAATCTTTGTATGAATGAATTAATAGTTACAGCCGATTTCATTGAGTGTGTAGGCAATGGTAATATCTTTGGTTAGCTTGCTTGCTAGCTGAACCGTGAAGTCATTATTAGGTTAGGTAAACTACCCTCCTTTAAGAGTAGACTAGTCCGACGGATAACCAATCTATCTGTCTGTTGGACTAGGCTACTTCGAAAGAAGGGTAGTATACCTGACCTAATAATGACTTCACGGTTCAGCTAACAAGCAAGCTAACCAAAGATATTACCTTTGCCTACACACTCAATGAAATCGGCTGTAATACTCAATATCAAACTCAACTCATGAATAGCAGATTTGTGTAATGTTATGTGTGAAATCGTGTGTAGTTCATATAAGAAGAATACAAAATACTATAATATAATATCAACATTTAAGGAGTAGAGTGAGCACTTCACACCAACTGTTGCAATTAAATCTTATAATATTAGTGTAATAGTCCTAAACTTAAATTAAATCAAATAAAGTAAAGAATAGAATTATGAAACTGACAATAACTAGAATTTACTTGTTTTTAAAGACAAATAACTTGATATGGCAGTTGTTATCAAATAGTTCTTTTCTATGTATGTTGGCGTTTGTTTTTGTTGCACTTCAATGTTTCTGTTGGTCCGATGGTTTCTTTAATCTTCAGTTCAGGAGGATATATTATTAATGGGATCTGATCAGAAAAGTTTGGATTGTTAATGGAAAGAATATAAGCAATATACCTGTATGTGGAATTAAATGATCAAGCTTCTTCGGTCTTTTCGTATTTAACAAGTGTCTGAAGGAACTTCGACTTAAATGAAAATAAGAAAAGGTCGGCCAGGAGAGGTGCACACATAGGAATGCCGACAACCTGCTTGAAAATTCTTCCTCCAAATTCATCAAATATGTTGTCAATGAGATGTAGCATGTTTTATTTTCGGTCTTATTCTAACAAAATATGCAGAATCATACCCCAAAACAATACAGTTTAGTGTATGGTTCCATTTTTATGGAGGAAAGCATGGTGGGCTATTTCTTCAAGACGGGTTTTCAATTTTTCATGTGGTATGGTGGTGTAAAGGGTGAAAAATCGAAGGTTTTGATAGAATTTATTTCAGAGAATGACCGATATTTCAAATTTTCCATAAGTATTTTTGAATCCACACAATGGTTAAAATTGTATTAACTTTTCAACCATTTTTTTCAACTTTTGTTCATGCTTTTCACTATCTGTAATTGTATGATTACGTCATGTAAATGTTAAAATTATCAGCAATTACTTCATATCCTGTCTTTGATTGGACAGAACTCTACCATGTTTACACTAACATTAATCATCGTGCGTTGACTGATTTATTACTCTGCTTTACCATTTTATAATTGAAAGAAGATATGAAATTTTTACATTTAAAAGAAAAAAAATATAGATTTGAAAGAAAACAAATCAAGTTCTTTCAGTATAGTCCAACAGTCCATTCAATAGATATAAGAAGATGTGGTATGAGTGCAAATGTGACAACTCTCCATCCAAGTCACAATTTGTAAAAGTAAACCATTATAGGTCAAAGTACGGCCTTCAACACGGAGCCTAGGCTCACACCGAACAAGCTATAAAGGGCCCAAAAAATGACTAGCAAGTCTAGTCCAATCCAATCCAGTCAAGAATTTCAATTTGCCGATTTGTACATGTATTACGCTTTATTTTAAATTTAAAAATAAACAATATTAACCAGTTGTAAATTGAGGAAGTAAATTATTAAAGTTTTTACTTATTGATCCGTTATTTATAGTAGATAAAACTACTACAAATAATAATCTGATGGACGACATTATCTATGAGAGAGAGAATAATCAGGTATGTTGTATCCAGAGAGAGAGATAGAGAGAAAGCGAAAGAGAGCGAGAGAGAGTGATAGAGAGCGAGAGAAAAAGAGAGAAAGAGAGGGGTTGGGATTACGGGATCCTTTAATGGATGATAAAACATATATGTAACGCTCTAACTTTGGTGGTTCTTCGAGAGAATGTTGTGTTCTAGTTAGTTGGTCCTGGTCGGTGCTGATGATCGATATGATTATATATAAAACAAACGACGACAACGATGATTTTGGGATTCTTTTTAATTAGAGATAAAAAGTGATAGGTATGATGTTTTGAATTTAAGAAATCAACTAAAATATTGGCCCTCCATACTGCTCCAGTATACGTAATACACACAAAAAAAGTGTTCATTTTTAACATCTGGAACGGAAAAAATGCTCCCATAGACGCTATTTATACTCGAATCCGGACGACCTAATCATTCTGTGAAAAACAGTAGTTAATTTTAACAGTTTCTAAAATGTCCTATGCTGTTTAAATTGATTTGAATAGAGTAATTCATTGCAGCTGCTACTCCGACTTTATAAAACGTCACCAGCGTCTGAACAGAAAGTTGTTGAACGTTTGAAGTTGTCAAAGAACGTCTCGTCCTTTTTCTGAAAAAAGTTCATTGGAAGATACCAAGAGCTTGTTGGTAAAGATAATACAAATAATACATAATGGTCTTGAAATATGGATTCTAGATACTGACGTTGTTTATCATCTAATTACTTGTTATAGTGTTCTTTTTATTTGTCCATGTTTATTTTTTAACCTTTACTGTTTAGTCCATTTTTGGTAATATACTTTTAGCATGGCTCGGTACTTATACATCCCGCCATTGTTTTATTGTGCTATGGTCAATTTTGTATTCTTGTCTTTCATTCTTGCTTATGTACTTTGTCTATAGAGTGTCTATATGTCATTGTTTTTCTTTGTTGAAAAAGTTATTTGTTATTTATAGTGATTAAGATTATAACACAATGTTGACTGATGTACCCCAATTTTTGAAATTTTTACTTATGATCTCTGTTTGTTTTGCTCACACATTGTTGTCAATATAATAGAATTCTATGCGACTATCATACAAGTGAGAGGTTTAGCTAGCTGTAAAACCAGGTTTAATCCACCATTTTCTACATGAGGAAATGCCTGTACTAAGTCAGGAATATGACAGTTGTTTTACCATAAATCATAGCGGTGGGTTTTTGCGTTTGACGTTTTCACATTTTGTCATGTCGGGGCCTTTTATAGCTGAATTTAAAGAATGGGTTTTACTCATTGTTAAAAGCTGTACGGTGACCTATATTTGCTTAAATCCAATTTATTTGGACAGTGTTTTTTTTTTTGGCATTCATACCACACCTCCTTACTTAAAACTATAAGCATTTTATTTCATTAAAATATATGAAATTGCAATTTAGAAGATATTGTTAGGTCAATTAAGGGGTCCACTATAATCGCATCACATATATTTTTAATAAAACTGTGAACATTAATTTAAATCAAGTATGAAATTGAAATGCGAACAAAGGGATCTATTGTCAATTATTCACATTTCGCTCGTTTTTTTCATTTGAAAAAATTGATTGTCAGTCTAAAGAACTGTATTAAATGTAAAATTCTAATGCTTACAATTATGCTGAATCAAGGATTACTTTATCCACACGCTAAATATTTTTTGAAATTATTCAAACTACTTCGTCCAGTGATTTTTATGACTGATTATTTAAATCAGGACATCTCCACCGAAAATGAAATTACGTTCACGTGTAAAGACACCTTTTTTCTCTTTTGAACGCAATATTTTGCAGGAATAACCTTTCAAATTTGTAGACTTCGATATATATATATATATCACATCATTAACTAACAACCTGATTTTAAAGAATTTGGTTCTTATTCTACGTTTTAAAAAAATCGAAAAGGGTTCCGCTGTGTCTCGAATGCGATTGCTGTTGTCAGTATAAAAGTGTAACACACAAAAAGACGACGACGGAATGTAGGATCGCTATATCTTACTTCTGCGACTTTTGTCGCAGGCCCGACGAAAAGAACAATTAGACATTAAAATTCAACAAAAGTGAAATGTAATCAGAGAGAAGAAAAACAAAACGCAAGTTGTGATTAGTATTAAACAATCTGTGGACTACAGCTAACATACACCATTCAGAATTTCGCTTCAAAAGATATTTATTGTTTTGTTTATGTAAGAAATAATACATATACATGTTTTGTTTTACTCAAACAACTTGTTGACTGTTCTGACGTTTCCCTGATGTCTTACGATATATCGTTCAACTACTAGTACTAGTATATACAACGAGGGGATGTGGTATGATTGACAATGAGACAGCTATCCAACAGAGTCTAAATGAATTTCAGCAACCATAGGTCACCGTACGGCCTTTTACAACGAGCAAATCCCATATCGTAAAGTCAAAATAAAATTGAGAATGGAAATAGGGAATGTGTCAAAAAGACAACAACCCGACCAAAGAGCAGAAAACAGCCCAAGGCCACCAATGGGTCTTCAACACAGCGAGAAAATCCCGAACCCGGAGGCGGGCTTTAGCTGGCCCCTGAACAAAAATGTGTACTAGTTCAGTGAAAATGGACGTCACACTAAACTCCGAAACATATAAATGAACTAGAATTAAAAAAAACATACAAGATTAACAAAGGCCAGAGGCTCCTGACTTGGGACAGGCGCAAAAAATCGGCGGGGTTAAACATGTTTTGTGAGATATCAACCCCCCCCCCCCCCTATACCTCTAGCCAATGTAGAATAAACAACAGCAATACGCACAGTAAAACTCAGTTTAAAAGAAGTCCGAGTCCAATGTCAGAATAGGTAACAGAAGAAACTAAGCAAAATGACAATGATAATAAATTAACAAAGGACTACTAGCAGTTACTGACATGCCGGCTCCAGACCTCAATTAAACTGATTGAAAGATTATGTCTTCATCATATGAAAATCAAGCACAATCACTCTCGTTAGTGGTTTAGTATCATACCATCATAAAATATATGAGAAGAATATAACCCGTATCATGCCAACAACTGCATGGTTTTAGAATAACTGTTTATTTCCGATGCAAAGACCCTATGAGTGAATCAATATTAATTCTAAAATATGACATCTTTAATGACCTGACAACAGTATCGTAACTTCTGAATAAGTCTGTTAAAAGGTTTGGTTAGCTTTTGAGGTGAATGACGACATTTTTGTGCTTTGTATAAAATATTACCATTAAAGATTGAAGGTGAAATACCTGATCAGTCTATATAAATGCATCTTATCTTTTGAGCTAAGTCACTTTATTTATACTAATCAAGGACTTAAACGCTATGAAATTCTAACACGGGATATTAAATTAAATAAAACTGAAATTATAAACGTACAGTTGTTTTTGGGATCATTTAGTGTATTAATATAATAAGAATATGTAATATTCGAATTAAGGAAGGACAATATGACTTTTACATTAACAAATGTTACACTATGAAATATAATTTAAAGTGTTCGTATATACGTACATACATTTCTATATCTCATAAAAATCACAAACATTTTATTGAAGGCAGGACCAGCAACCATTACTTGTCCAAAGGTACAGCGTCTACGAGAGCTTTTTAGAGGTCGCTTTGCCTATGAAGAAGCAGAGAGACTTATAAACCACCACAATGGTGATCTCCTAGCTACTGTTAATTTTGCGCTAACAGGTATTTTACGCATACACCTAGTTAACATTTATAACTGGCTTTAAACAAAAAAGAAAATACGAAGAAGGGTGTATACGTAAATCCCAGATACCATAGGTCACCGTTCGGTGAAACACCAATTGTATTTTTTCGTACCGTTGTCATAGGTCACAATATTCATACTCAGAAAATGTGGCATTTGGATACGGACGAAAACATTAATACATTTTCGTTTGTCGTCTAACACATATGAAAAAGATTGCATATACATTTCTTCCAACAGAATCAGCGGAGATTTTCGTACAATTATTTCAGAACAGTGAACTTACAACGTAGAAAGCTTTAAGAAAAGTGCACACAGTTTGTCGTTTTTAATTACTAGTAATTAAAAGTAGATTTAGTGTGAAAGAATCCGGAGTATTAAAATGGTGACAGCGGTTTTGCGTTTTGGTAAAATTACTGAGTATTTTTTAATGTTTCTTGAGTATCTACCCTGTATCCTATTTTGTTAAAGAGGTGAATGACAACTACAAAAAAGAGATATTCATAATTGGTGAAACTATTCCTCGATGCTCATCTCATTTTCGCTGTGATTTTCAAACCAAATATTTACCAATCTCCTGTTGCAACAAAGTAATTATTTATCAAAAATGTCTTGGATTTTAAAACATTTTCTAGTGTTTAAAATATATATATATATATATATTTCAGCTGATTTACCAACCATAAGAAATATAAGCAGATCTGATGACGAAGGGGTATATATTTAATCATGTTGAAAACTATAGGATGTGTTATTTGATCAAATTCATTACATTTGCTTTATCTCAACAAATCTCATTGTGTTAAAAAAAATTGGTAAATTTCAATAGAAATGGTAATAGCGACTTTGTCTGTGCATTTTATATAAGTCTGGACAAAATTTAATTGCTTCAGGATTTTACACTTTTTCATTACCGAATTTTTCGCTAAAATGGTAAGATTTCAAGATTTATTAGGAAAACACTCAGACACATATACAATGTGTTACAAGAGGTCATTATTGATAACATATATACATTAAATATGATAAAATAAAACCAGTGATTAAATACAAATAAATATGATAGTACAACTTCACACTTTGGACTTCAATTTACTATATTAATATAAATAAAATTTGAAGAAGAGAAGACAGTTATCTGATAAACACTGACAATTTCTTATATAATTCAATATTGCAAAGTGACAAAAACCCTTCCATTTTTACAATGTTTGGATTATTTCTATAATATTGTGGTAAATATCTGTTTCTCAATTCTACTATATCTGCATTTTTGTAAATAAATAATACATGATATTCATCACCAATATCCTCTTTGCATAAATTACACATTCTTTCTAATTTTGGTATATTGTACCATCTACCAGTTTCTATAGGCAATCGTAATTTTGCAGTTCTAAATTTTGAAATACAAATTCTATGACTCTGGTAAACTAATAAGATCTTTTTCTATTTCAAAACTCTTTTTGTAAAGAAAATAAAATTGTCCACGCGATGTGGTGTGTAAGTCACTGTACCATTTTTGTATAAACTGGTCAAACAAAATTTGTTATACTAAAGCCTTTTCGTATACAGCAAAATGGTTTTAAAAAATAAAGCTCATGCCTAACTCATTAAATATAGATTCTATGTGGCTTATCCACTTGAAATTCACTCCATGATTGCTTTTTAAACATAGCATTAACTTGTATAATGTACAGCTAAGTTTATTTTCATTTAATACTAATTTACTCCTAAAAGAAACCTCGTGTGGAAACCTCCCAAGTTCTCCATAAACCATAAATGATGCAGTTGAATTTCGAACTTTCAAAATTCTTTTACAGAATTGTTCAATAATTTTCAGGTTTTCAAAGCCCCACACTTCTGAACTCTACAATAAAATTGGTTCAATCATAGAATCATCATTTTTAATTGTATATCTATAGGTATTGACTCATTACGAGATTTCCTTTTACAAAAAATCGTAACTTTAGTTTTGTTAACATTAATCTGCAGTTTCCATATATCACAATATGATTGAAAAATGTCTAGAGCTCTTTGCATACCTTCCATACTTTCAGACAGAATGACATCTGCATATAAAATAACAAATAATTTATAAAAAATGTGCAACTCACTTTCAAGCTTCTCTTTAATAATATTAAGAGGTTCTCCGTCTAACTGGCTGAAATAACTTTCTAGATCATTTAGAAATATAGAAAAAAGAAAAGGTGATACATTTTACCCCTGTCTTACACCAGTAAGACAAGGGAAAAATTCAGACTGGTCACCATTATAGTGAACGCAGGATTTAATGTCATGGTACATGTTAAAGATAACCTTAAAATATTTACCTTTACTTTCACAATGTTGTAATTTTGTCCATAGCCCCGATCGCCAGACGGTGTCCTGTGCCTGGTTTGCAACCATTTTTAGTCCACGAGTCGTTTTGGATTTTTTTGCTAAATTGTCGTATGCTCTTCAAAACACCATGCAACGTTCCGTTTATCATGCCATTTGGAGTAGAATATTTTAGCGAAAAATTCAAAACTACAATTGGACATTTTAGCGCTAACGTTATGGGCCATTTTAGCGCCGACGTTATAACCCATTTTAGCGCCGACGATTTAGCCCATTTTAGCGCCCACGATATATCCCATTTTAGCGCCGACGTTATTTTAGCGCTAGATTAATCCGTTCACCTGTATTTGCGATAGCCCAGCTTACCTCATTATTAAAACCGTGGACAGTAAAGAAAAGTACAATATGTGACAGATTCCGTTATTGGACCGTCGTAGTAAAGGCCGGGAAATAGCACGGAGATGTTGGTAAATGTTAGGAACTGCACAAAAATATTTTCATGGATTAAATAATTCGATTATTTAAGTATAAAATCTTTTCGGATTGGGGATTTTCCTTTTTGAATTTTCCTCGGAGTTCAGTATTTTTGTGATTTCACTTTTTTCAATAGAACTTTTATCTTCATCACAGACTAGAACAAATTTGTAACAGTTAAGTATTAGATACAATACAAAGGTAACAAAGAAACAGGCCGGTAACAACCGTTGCCGGATTGTTTTTCTGCACGAGTAGTCAGGTCAAGGTCCGAGGCGATAGCCGAGGATCTTGACCTGACTACAAGTGCAGACAAACTATGTTATACACATTTGAGACTTTTTGAAATGCAACTTCGCAAGTAAGTAATGTATAAAAAAAGATTTCAGAGGTAAGCAAGCTACCATTTGATTTTTATTGGGGGAAAAAGGGGAGTTAAAATAAATTTAAAATAAATAGGCTTCATTCTTTTTTTGTTGAAAGAATGCAGGCTGTGCCATTCCAGCCCCTGCCACCCCCCCCCCTCATTCCCCCTAAAAAATTCGTAAAAATCGTACGCCGCCAAATATATGAATTCAATAACAATATAAGTGTATCAAAAGAATGAATTTCCTATCTCATTAGTGAATGAAATGTTATGAAAAAATGGATTTTGTCTTGTTATTAGATATATATAGGCATATATTTTGGATTAAAAAAAATGTTCATGCTTATAGGTTTTTATATGTCTCTGATAGTGTTGATCAGGATTAAACACGTGTCATTATATGATCCAATCAGACCTTACCGTCCAAAATTGATGACATAAGTTGAATGATTTTCTTCAAGATTTGCTGCCTATTTGAACGTGTATTACACGGACACTTTTTATTTATAGGATCAATCGTGCATTGGTGAGTTGATAGGGATTTTATCTTTTGATTAGATTTGATTTCTTTTATATATATATGCTGTCTTATTTATTGAAATATAAACGTTGGCACCAGTATTTCTTTCAGCATTGTCCAGAATTCTATTCATGTCCATATATTGAAAAAAAATAAATAATTTACGGACCGACCATTTAGCTTCAAAAGGGGGTGTGTTCTTTTCTGAGAAAGAAAATTATTTAGTTTTTCAACTATATAATATATTATATATTTTTTCTCATAAAATTGGGGATCAAAATATTTTTTAAGGAAAAAACCATAACCCACCTTTTGAAGTTAAATGGTCAATCCCTTAGTGTACTAATATGAATAGTTACTGGAATTGTTTGAAGAAAAATATAGTTATTGATGCTAACGTAAATAATTAAAAAGACAGGAAATATGTCGGTGAAACAAAAAGTTCAAATCTAATTGAAATTTAAAGTGCCCATGAACTCACTGATCATGCACGAGTGATTCTATTCATAAAAAGTGTCCGTGTAACAACTAAAAAGTGTCCGTGTATCATCTAAAAAGTGTCCGTGTAACACCCGTTAATGTACTGTTTTTCTATAGCTCTGCTGGGGGCAAAGTCGTACAAGTTAGTAAACGGAACTAAAATACGAGATGATTGGTGTTATGCAGTACTGTATATGACAATTTTACAGTGTGTTTTCTTGATACTAGTATTAAAATTCTATGCTGTAAAGAAGGAACATTTGGATTAATCTATGTTGCTTAAATGAGAATTGATAATTTTACTTTTGCTAAAACGGGCTAAATCTTTGGTGCTTAAATATAAAATACTTTGTCGCTAAAACGTCCGAAAAACATACCAGATTTCAGAAATTTATGTGAAGTCTTTGTACGAGCCCTTTTCGGCTACGGTACTTGTACACTTTTCGACATTGGAGATTAAGATTTTTACGCTAAATTATTTAGAAAAGTGTCTAAAAGAGGATTTTCTTTTATCGGGTATTGATTTGTCTTTTTTGTTTGTTTTTGAAAACATGGTATCGTTTGACCGGGCCTATGTATATAACAATACGAAATGAACAAAGGAGAATACATTATTATAATATCTACTTTTTTTCAAACACAGTGGCAAATTGTGAGAAACAACAGAGCATGGCGAGAACTTGCACTTCAAGGCCAGTTGACGCATGAAGAACGTCAGTACGCATGCGGACCATGTGATAATGTTTGGTGGCGAAAAGTACCAGCTAGGAAGAGGGTAAGCTGTCCTTGTAGAAATTATCATACCGGATAAGATGCGCGTGTATGATTAAAGCTGTTGATTAAACTATAGATTCCTTTATTTAAAGAGAAAGGTGTAAAAGAGAGGCGAAAGATACCGAAGAGACATTGAAACTCATAAGTCGAAAAATAAACTGACAACATCATGACAAAAAACGAAAAAAAGACCAAAAGATAAACAACAGGATACAAAACACAAGATAGAAAACTAAAGACTGAGCAGTACGAGATCCATAAAAAAACTGGGTGATCTCAGGTGCTTCGGGCGGATAATCATCTCCTTCTCCTAATGTGGCACCATCTCCTGCTTCTGATGTGGCACCATTCGTGTTACTTATATAAGTAGAAACCCAGTGATGAGTCTAATTCGGTAGGTCACATTCGGGGAAAAGAGGACGGAATTGTGGTTATGACAATTGGAACATGTATATATATCTGTCGTCATCTATGAAACAAATTTTCAATAACGGTCAACCAACTCGTGATAGCGTCCGTAAAATTTTTGAATGGGTGATTTCAACTGCACCACTTGGAACTCTTTGTTAAAATGCTTCTTTGTGAGCAGCAACTCTTTATGATGATAGGAAATACAAGCCCTGGAAAATCGTATTAACTTGGAGATATATACTCCATATGTAGGTGCTGCTTGTATGTTGCTACATAGAAATGAAAGTTCACAATTGGGAATCGTAAAGTTTTGTTCTCAACGGATCCTCATTGTCAATTTCTAGATGTAAGTTCGTCGATAGGATAAATGCGTTCAACATAGTCACAAACTTTGAATTATTTAGTGAGAGAACATTATCTATATAGCGGAAAGTGAAGTTAAAGGAGAATTATAGCTTCTTTTCATTCTTCATTAGAACTCCTGTATGAAGTCAGCCTCATTCTAATAAAGGAATAAGTCGGCAAAATATGAGCACAGTTGGTTCCAATGAGAATGCCGATTGTTTGTTGAAAAAAATACGTCTTCCAAGAATAGTATATACGTTATCAATCAAGTACCAAGCATCTTGATAATATCAGTTTCAGAGATTTTTTTGTTTGAATCAGAGTGATTTTTTTACAAAGTACGATTTATCCATCCCGAAGACAAGATACATTTTGTACTTGTGTCTACGTTTGATCGTTCTTTTTATGAAACAAAGCAAGACCAATTCTTTCAATTTGTCTTTTAGTTTGGAACGGGGAATACTTGTGTAAAGGGTAGAAAAGTTAAATGTTTTAATACTATTGCAAGATGAAAGAGTCTGAGATTGTATGTACTCAAACAGATATTTGAAAGTTATTAGTATCCACGTCTGATTCACTCCGCCACTAGAATAGGTATTTTTTTCACAATAACTTTGAAGCCCAGCGTTGACTGCTGATAAAATTGATGTTAATAATTTAGAAAGATGTTTCGTGGAGCACTTTGAAGACCCAATATAACGTTGATTGTAAGGCAACTTGTGTGATTTGGGTATCTAATAAAATGAATGAAGAACCAGTTCTTCATCTGCGGTTGAAATTAAAAAGAAACATAGAACAGACATATGATTATCCAGGATTTCCTCCTTGGTAAGTGTCATGGGGGTATATGTTGAGTTTCCAAGTGAATTGTCAAAACCTAATTCCTTTATCTAGCAGTTTATGTAATGTGATATACCCACAAAAACGATGCTATTTGGGGCTGTATCTGCGGGACAAACAACATATTTGGAGGTAGGACAGGTGCTTTACAATATTTGAGCCTTTAAACTACATGTAATGATCAATCTATATATAGAACTTGTAGTTAATTATCATTGGATAATATTTATGCATACATTAAATGAAAGTTTATATACTGGCTTTTTGCAGGTATCAAAATGTAAACGGTGTAATGTTCGATACGACGCCATACCTCGTCACAGGGAGTGGGGATGGGCAGAATTTGCCTGCAATAACGTCAATTGTGGGCATGTCTTTAGGTATTTAGTTTTAAATATTTTACTGGTATTTGACACCAATAGAATTAAGCGTTTTGATACTATTACACATTAGATGTACGCTTTGAATTCGTGTTCATGACTGTTTTTTTTATTGTAGGTAACAAGTTGATAAAACATAAAAAAATGTTTAACAAAATTTTATAAGTGGCACTCGGATCAAAACAGTTGCAAAGCAAAGCTGGTACTTTGTCTTGGTGTACTCATTCACTATTTGATATGTTTGTTTCAATGTTTACTTCACAGCCAGGTTTGTTGTCTACCAATTTGTATTTTGTGAAGCTGTAATGATTGTTGTGTCCAAAGAGTGTATTTCTCTTGCGATGAGTGATTAGTTTGACAGTTTCTGTTTCGAATATTCAAATATTCTTTGAAGCAACTATAGTTCGCGAAGTAGACAATGTGTTCTGTGTTTACTTTACATTGTCTTGCATTTTATTCTCATCTGATCCTCTGTTTGTTGCACTATATAGGATAATTTGCGTTTACGAAATTTTTGAAAGTTTGTTTTCTCTTTCCCTTTTAAGCTTAATGGTATTACATGGTAATGGTCCTAGGTTTTCAAATTATATGACTATGTCCACTTCACAACTCGTTGCACATAATCCTTTTTTAATTAATTTTTTTTTTACAAATGTGGATTTACATTCTTGTCCTTTTCGGTTATATCAGCTCATCAAAGTTTTTTTTTAATGGGTTTTAGGTTTTCAAATATTTTGCTTCGAGCATCACTGAAGAGACATTAATTGTCGAAACGCGCATCTGGTGTAATGAAAATGGCACGGTTTATATTATTACAAAAACAATATCTTTTTCTCAATGCGTACAAATGGTGGTTTTTATATACTTGTACGTGTCTACAATAAAACAAATCTATTTTATTATTAGAAATTTACCTGTGATAATATAAACGCCACAAAAAATAATTCGTTTGTGGTGTCCTGTAGTACTGTCGTAAATTCATGGGAGGTGTCCGTTGTTATTTTGTGGTTTACATTTTGTAATGTACTATTATATTATTTATTTATGTATTTCTCTGTCCTGAGTGTTCTTGCGTTTTTGTGTACTGTATTCCTGTCACGCAATGTTGTCATTTTAGCGGTATTTTTAACATTGTCATATAAGCGGGGGGTTTGGCGTTTGTTTTTGTTGCAGTTCAGTATTTCTGTTGTTCCGTTGTTTTCCTCTTATAGTTGATGTGTTTTCCTCGGTTTTGGTTTGTGACCCGGATTTGTTTTCGCTTAATCAATTTATGACTATTGAACAGCGGTATACTACTGTTGCCTTTATTCATTGCTCTTTTGTCGTGTTTTGTAATTGCCTTGTTCTAATATATATGAATACGATAATGGTGATAATTAAAGGGTCCTTGATAAATTTATTTAGTTATTATCGGGGATATTTAGGCATCGTATAATGCAGCATAATTGGGAGATCTCATTTTAAATCACAAAATAAGATAGAATAGGGTTACTGGTTGGACTGTGTAATTTGTTTCATTCTATTATCTATTAATATAGGTATATTTTGACCAATGTGTTTATAAGCCATCATTATAAGTTCTTTATAGTTTGTCCAGTTTGCTTTTTTTCTTATTGTTAGGACAATAAAGGAGTTATTTTACTCATATGCTGTAGTTGTTTTTGAAAACATACACTTGCATTGTGGCGTTTTAAATTCTTAACATCATAAAGTTGAAACAAGAATCGACAAAACTGAGCTCCGCGATTCGGTACGATGCAGCATTAAGACCTAAGCTTGCTATTGTATCTGTATAGAGGATATTAACTTCTTATTTTGCTTCCTAGTACTCACGGTGAGGCCATTTGATCAACTGTCAACCACCATCAACAAAATAATGTTATTACATGCTCTTTATATATCCAAGGGTCCATCTTCTTTTTGTATTGCTTACAATGATACTGGATTGTTTTGCGTGTATCTTTTAAACTGATAAAGCAGATCGCATAGTTTTAATGTATTTTGAAATATCGGCAAACATATTTGGCAAATACTATCTTTTTCGAACAACTTCAAAGTTCTCTCTATCTTTGGTGACAGTCAACAATATTGTTATTGAAGAATTCCATTACTTCCGTTCGCAAAATTCCTAGTATTACCAGTTACTTGACAATGATCTGTCCTTAGATGACTTCTTGATATTGTATTGAAAAAGTGGCAGGGTCTATCTTTATGTTGAAGTCTTGTAATTGACTGCTCCAAAGGCTCAATCTTTGAAATTTAAAAAAAATAAAATTGCTACATAGAAAAATATTTCATGTGCATATCATATATGCAGTAATGTGAAATTGTGATTCAATAAAAAAAAAGGTGCTTTATGCCACATAGAACAAAAAGTTATGAAACCCAGAAGTCAAAACTACCTTTTTTACTTTCTGTTTGTTGTTTTTACTAGGCTGCACCACTTCCAGCCAACTGTTATGTTATATGTAGAAACTGCTAATTTGCGTGATGTCAAATGTGGATTAAACCGATGTATCATTTCTTTTAGTGATAACATTTTTTTATTTCTATTAATAGGGCATTTTGTTTTATTGTAATTTAGATTATTTAGGGATCTCCATTGATATGCGATTATAAGTTCGAAGTTTTGTTGTTCGGGTTTAACTGTCTTAGTGTCCTCAGATACATTCACTAGCAACACAAACGGTTTATCAAAGTCCGGGAAAGCTAAAATTTGTGCTGATGCAAAGCTTTGTTATTACGTTTCATAGGCTGTTAAAAAATCTAAAGCTCAAAATTTAGCATTCAAACATAAGAATATCTAATGTTTGTCAATTATGTTATAGTAGTGTTACTATTTTTGAGTAGTTGAAATGTCCGTAATAATCATACAATCCTAGTAAACTACTGGTGTTGTTTTACATTTGAAGGTATAGAACATATTTACATACTAGTAGCAGATGTTATTGATGTCAAAGTTACATCTATTTTGGTAAGAGTAAGAATTGCTTGTTGTAAATTGCTTTAAATTTTAAAAGCTTATGCTTAGAATTAGACTATCACCAATATCAACTTTTTTCGAGATCATAGACTTTAAAAACTTTTCATTTTTAAAAAGCATATTTTTACTGAAAATATGCTACCTTTCGAATCAGCAACTGTGTCAAACACATTATTACCCCAGGAATTCTAATATTTCCTCTTGGCGTGCATAAATTAAGACGGTAATAGTCAAACTATATAAAATCTTGTTTTACATCCTTTTGGCTTTTCTCTTTCTACGGACTAATTTAATTGAAGAAGGCCAAGGAGAGTTTAATTATGTCGTCTATTAAAATATCAATTTGTTGTTTTTTGTTTCCTCCATTTCTGTTTTTATGAGCATTGAATAAACTGGTAATGCAATCCCTGCATCACGAATATGTCATCTTAATGTTTGTCCTCATGAAAAAAAAATTCGAGTAGGTTTTAAATTTCTTTATATACCCTCTCCATTTGAAAATAAACTACACATTTTGAACTCATTCAATTTTCAACATCATTTGAAAATTTGGGTGAAGATTGATGTATTATTGTTTCGATTCGTAGCAGTTAGCCTGTCAGGGATGATAATTTTATAGTGTTGGGTATTTCTGACTACGACTGTTTTGACACTGAAAATATTAATCATTTTTAATTCTTGATTTATATATATATATATATATATATATATATATATATATACGTCTATAAACATGTGACAACTTTATAACAGACATTCTCCATCGGATAACCCGTGGTTATACAGGATAACCCGTAGTTATACAGGGCTAACACCATAATATATATATATAATTCGTCTCAAATTCAGCCCAACAATGTTTGATCTGTAAATTTGCGTTCGCACCGTGTCCAGCGCCCTAGACCACTCCGCCAACTAGACTATAAAATATAGCTTTTGTTAGTCGAGTAAAGCCTGTTCTCGTCGGCTTGGTCCTCAATGCTCTTCACTGTGGCTGCGTACTTTATTTGGCCTTTAAAATTTTTGATTTGAGTGTCACTGATGAGTCTTTTTTTTTGTAGACGAAACGCGCGTCTGGTATCTATGATGAGTTTATTTATGTCTGGATTTGTTTTACGACACATTTTGATTCCAGTAACGTGATTGATAGGGTTCGTGCAATAAAACGAACCTTGAAAATATACTTACATCCGGCCTCTATTTGGGTCATTTTCAAAAACATGCAAATATATGTTATAAGGCACTAACATGAAAATATATCAAGATAACACTTGCATATGTTAGATATGAATGTTTTGCGATACACTATATACAGTTTACAGTATGAAATGTTATAAATACATCCTTAATGTTTTCTGGAACCCCATGGATATAGCCAGAATTACCTGTTATTTTTTCTATAGTACTTTTCAGACCTAAAATATGACTATAACTCATATCCTTTTTTATTAGGATGTATCACTATTTATTGCATTTTGATACATACAAACACTTTTTTAATGATTTGGATAGTGTTTGTTGGTTTGATAATAAAAAATTTTCAACAAAAAGAAAAGTATCATTTTTTCAAGTCACTGGTGTACCCAAAAGACAAAATGGTTGGGTAAGAGTTATCTTTCTTAAGATTTCAGCATTTACAATAGTTTCTCCCCTAGCAATGCTACCTGTAAGCATGTAATGCAGACAACAACAAAAAATCTATGTTGAAAATTAGTGAAAAAATCTTAAATGTAAGTGAAAGCTGTATCGTAAATGAATTTAGTGTCCATGGTGTACCCTTATAAAAATCATTTTCCAAAAGATTTACTAAACTTTGATTTATGAAAAAGATATTGGTTGTAGAAACATGCATATAAAACAGGGGAAGGGAACACTTATTCTGCAACTAAATCTTAAAATACACATGTACGTCATTGGTGTTACTGTCAATGGTGAGACCACTTTTAAAAAAGTAACACCATTGACCAGTTTAGTAACTCCACTGAATATATTATGACAATCAGCAATTTTTTGGTTTTTTTTTATGTTTAACAACCGAAACATCATATTTTTAATGAAATATAAAACTTATTTAACAATGTTTTAACAATATAATGTGTTACCTATACCAAGTTTTCACAAACTGGTATATGCTGGTAACACCATGGACACTATTTAGTAACACTATTGACATTTTTAGTTATTGATGTTATGTTATATAATTTGGGATTTTTTAGCCTAAGAATTATTTTTTTTTCCTTTTCTTTTGCTTAGTGTTCTTTGTTTTGTGTTCAGTACTTAATAAGATTAGAAATTGAACTTTGTTGTCAATGGTGATACTTTTGTGTCATTGTAGTTACTAAAGGGTCAGTGGTGTTACTATATAAAAATGCAATAATTTTTATTTTTTTATTATTAAATGAAAGTTGTTTTATGCCGTTTACGAAGGATTAGGCATTATCTAATCATTCAGTCTTACACATTTTACATATATTCAGTTTTAGTGTATTCTTTAATATTGCCAACAGCCATAATTAGGACAGCTATGTTTTTTACAACAATTTATTCTGACATTTATGTTCAAATAGAATGCAAACCTATAAAAATAATGTCAATAAGTTGTAATTTAAAACCTTAACAACAAATTGGAACAGTTGTTTGGTATTTAAAAATATTTTTTAATAACTTAATGCATGTTTTTATATTGGTAACACCATTGACATGATTCTATCAAAGGATGACCTAAAATTGTTAAAATTGAAGGAACTCCTCATTTTGCCGATTGCATATTTCTGAATATAGCTGCTACCATATTTCAGAATAGCAGGACATATTTTAATTTTTAAAACAATGACATTAGTTTTCCTAAACTTTCCTTATCAAAATATGCATGCTTTTTGATAATGACCTATTTACGAATACATTGTAAAGGATTCCGTGTGCAGCTATGAAAAAAAAAGCTTCAATATTTGAATACGTATAGCAAACGTGAAATATGTTTTTAAATCTGGTATATAGTAACTGGTTTCTTTGATTTGCAAATGGCTTTTTTATTTTGACTTATGACTCTTCATAGTTTTACGTATTTTCGCATTTCCATTATTCGATTTCAAGAAGTCCTAATGAGAAATTAAGTTATAAGGGCTTATGGCGCAACAAACTAATTTGTAATTTTTTATCATATAGAGTTAATTTCTTATACTGTTCAAATATATTGCTTATTGTGCACAATTGTTGCTGAGAATGTGGTTAAGTATATCTCACATTGGTTTTTGATTTACAACTGATTTCAGAAAAGCACATTCAGACGTTATTTAAAAAATCACTTTCATGAAACCTTTCTTATATTCGACAAAAAATGCTTGCTTACAGAGGATTTGGTCAAATGGAAAACACATGGAGTCCCTGTTTCCGCTGTAGAACACCATGCTTACCCGTGAAAATTTTCCCAAGAAAAAAACGGGGAGATTCAGAAAGAGGTCCAAGAAGAGCTCGGGATGAACATTCTTGTTTCAGTCATAACTGCTTTAGAAGAGCAAGTGAGTTGAGTTTTTAAATCAAAGCAAAATAACCGAAACTAAAGCTCAATGCAAACCAATGGTAGCGGAGTTTTCCCATTTAATATAAACTGTACACAGATATATATCTCACCTGTATATGATTTGATAGTAAAATGCAAATGTTCAAATTAAAAGATCAAATACTTCACATATAAATTATGCAAAATACTTAGTTAAAGAACCATGACTCAAGGAACAGGGTCAACTAATTTCTGTGATATATACCACTGCATGCATACTGAATATCATTGAATTATCATAAGTGTTTCCCCTAAATCAGACATAATCACAAACTTTAACATGTTAACTATGCAAAAGTTTCAAAGTAAATAGACCATGACTGAGAGGGTGGGGATCAATAATCTACATGAAAATGAGATGTGCCAATTATTATACAACTGCATACCAAATGTCATTGATTTATCATAAGTGTTTCTCCTTAAACTGACTTAATTTTTAACAAGTTGTTGACGTTGCCGACGCCACCGCCCACAGAACCAATATACCTAAGTTGCGTCAAAGCGAGAACAAAATTCTTTTTGTAGCACTCCACAATTAATTGTGTATTTTCGCATCTTGTCCCCTGTGGATTTTTCAAATATGAAAGCTAGTGTGCAATCAAATTCATTTTGGATAGCTGAAGATTAATATAACCTTCAAAGTGGGTTTATAGTATATAAATTTTACTGTATATGATTTGATAGTAAAATGCAAATGTTCAAATTAAAAGATCCAATTTTTATCTGATCATTTGGTAGATTAATGTCAATAGTTTCAGAAAAGGTATAACTCACAGGGATTGAAATTCTAGTTTGAGTCAAATTTTGGGGGAATATGTACCCCTTTTTGCAATATTTTATGGTAAATATTGCAAAATGCTGCCATGGATACACAAAAGAGGAATTGTATTTCACATTTTAACTTTTGAAAATCAAGTCTATGGATGAAACTGATTACATACATATGCACATGTATGGCACAACAGGAATAGCAGATGGTTAAACATTTTGTGGTTCAATTATAATTTTATTTTCAAGAATGCTACCTTTGATACATCTGGGTGTAACTAAATATCTGAAATTCACTTTTCATTAAAAAAAATACTTTGCTTAGTGATATCTATCTTTGGTTTGGAGATAAATATACCGACAATTGATTAGTATTCCGATGGTAACTAACCGTGCCCCTCTTATTACAGATTAACTTCCTTTACTGTTAGGAATCTAATGTGCAGCAAAGCTTTATATCCCACCAAAAACCACATTTTAGATATTCTTAAGACTTCAAACAGATATTGAATGATGTATCTAGATGTCTCTTGTTAATTTTGTCGTTTTTCTTGTCTCAATGAAGTATACTCAACATCTCCTTTATTCACATTGAAACAATCGGGGATTGACCACCCATTTCAGTAACCATGCATTAATGTGGACGAGAATTAGATACAGACGCCACTCACAACGATGTAATTTTGTAATTAAGGATTTTTGATTATTAAATTCGACTAGGCTTCCACAAATGTGAGAGCGAAACAAATAATGAATCCAATTTTGAGGTTGTAAGACAATAAAAAGGTGAAATTTGTGTTTACTCAATACAGATAAAAAGTACAAATAATTACGACTTTTAAAACAAACAATCAAAATGACACATGTGTTTCCTTTATTTTCCAACGCAAGTAATTGTTAGCATAGTGAACTTACAACTTATTGTTTCCAAACAATTTGTTTTTACTTGACAGCCACCTTTTTTCGCCTCTTGAATTTATTTTGTAAACTATCTGTATATATATGAGTCTCTTTGGTTTCTAACTCTACAACGAGTCATCTTGGCTCCCAGAAATCGATGCGTTAATGTATTGGTCGTACATGTTAGCTATAAGGTTTCGTTTTAGCATATTTGCCATAAAATCAATTTTGGATTACTTCTTCAATAAATTAAAAAGTCACTTTATTTTTTTATTTTAAACTAAAGCTGGACCTCAATTAGGAGGGATTTGTGTCCATCCAAGGTCATTACGCAGAGGAGAAAGAGCTGTATTCCCTAGTCATAGTCACAATAGTACAGGCTCGACCATCGACACATTCCTCACACAGGACGATTTGTTCTCTCGGATGTCGGACTTTGGACCCGATGTTTCCGATATTGATGAAGACGATGATAGCCAAGATGGTGGTATATGACAATATATAAAATTACATTGAGCTGTAAATGAAATATTGTTGCACATTAATTTGAATGGAGAATTTGCAATTTTAGACATTAAATCTACTTTCTGAAAGCGGTATAAAGGAATGTTGTAAAAGAAAATAGCCTGGACCCAGCTTATCCAACATCTTGCATCATAATTAAGACATAATTACATATAGGAATATACTAAAATGAGGACTCGAGACAATGAAATAAAAATTTATCAACGCACTATTCCAATTCGCACTTTAATGTATATAATTAATGATGTCACTTAATATACATTTACAGTATCATGATTGTAAATGAGACAACTATCTTCAAAACACCAAAGTACAATGATGTGATTAACTAAAAGTTTCCGTATGCCCTTTGTCGACGTATATTTGTTCTGTCTAACAGAAGTTCCACTGGAAACTTTGAAATGAACAACATCATAATATATCTGTTCATATAGGAACACATATTCTCAGTGGAAATAATTTTACAGAATATTTCTTCCACTTGGAACTTATATTATACAGGAACTTCTATTTCATTACACCTTCAGCAGTGCACATAACTTATATCGTACAGTAAGATATAAAAGGCCCCAGAATAATTTTTTGTTCGACAATTTGAAAGAAAAATCAGCGGCTTGATTTATACTACAATAATTCTAAAAAGCCCCCCAAAAATACGTCAATCGTTGGATTACAGACTCTTAGCTTGGGACAGGCACATAATACATGTTTAAGAGCGTTCAACCCTCTCCTAACCTGGGACATAGTTGTAACACAAACAGTAAAGTTCATTTAGAAAAAAATATTTTCATAAGATTTGTACTTGTTATATTACTAAAAGAACCAACAGAAGACGCGAAGTACCGATCTATAAGTTTTAGCAGTCAATGAAAGCCTGCTAGTAAATAAAACTTGTTTTCCAAGACTAAATCTTAGTTAAATTATTGAATGACAATTCTGAACATTAATGCCGTTTGTGTGATGTAATATGACAACGCCATGGCAAAAAACGAAAAACGACCAAAAGTCAACAACCATATATACAAAACGCTACATAGAAAACTAAAGACTGAGCAACCGAGGGTGATCTAATGTGCCTCAGAAGGATAACCACATTCTACTCCACATGTGGCACCCGTCATGTTACGCATGCATGTACAAACCCTTTGATAAGTCTAATTCGGTAGGTTACATTCGGGGTAAAGAGGACGGGATTGTGGTTACGACAATTGAAACATATCCGTCGTTATCTGTGAAAGAGATATTCCATAACGGTCAACCAACTCGTGATGGCGTCCGTAACATTTTCGAAGGGATGATTTCAACTTCACCACTTGAAACTCTTGTTGTAATAGCTTCCTTGTGAGCAGCAGCAACCCTTTATCATGGAAATCAGGTTAGGCATACCCAGCTCTGGAATATCTATCAACTGGGAAATATATACCCCATATGCACACGCTGCTGGAATGTTACTACATAGACATGGCAAGTTCACAATTGGAAAGCTGAAATCACCTCTTTTGTCGTACAGTTTTGTACTTAACCGACCCTCATTGTCAATTTCTAGATGTAAGTCAAGATATGAGGCAGACAACAGTATCTGGTGTATCCTTTATTTCAAGTTAGATGGGATAGATGCGTTACCTACGAAATGTGTTAACCCAAGGATCGAAATAACGTGAACGTTAATCCAGAAAATATAAGGAAAACCTTGAAATACTAATTGATTCATTCAATCATAAATTATGCCAGATACTGGGAAAAACATAATAAAGAAGACGTAGAAACTCATTTCGAATGGGTTAAGGCTGTGTTGTCAATGATACAAATCAGCATCAAGATACTTAATGGGCCAATGAATAGTCGTGCTACAATTATCATGAAAGACCCAAATGTTTCTCTATGCACTTATCCTTATTCGTAAACAAATACGTTGTTGTCACCGCACCCCCTCCCAAACAACGTCGTTTGTGTTTGTAAACCCACATTATATTTACTGCTTGGTAAACAATGTGTTGACAATTCACTTGGAAAGCATACACATACTCCTACGACACTAACTAATGAGGAAACTCCGAATAATAATATGTAATTTAAAAAATGAAAACAACACGTTATAAATTTTATGCGTCCGAAGCTTTTCTGGATTTACCTTCATCAGGAACGCTCAAAGCCATTTATCTGAAAGCCAATGATGTATAAGAACCGAAACAGTTGAAGAGCTATATCACCAAAAAAGACTTTACGCTTCTTTGGAATTTCAACCACTTCACTCTACTATATATCCAAATTACAACTGTATACTTATAACAACGTAGGAACAAATATATTATTTAAGAAAGAGACAAGTCATACTTTGCTCTGATTCTGATTTATGAAACTGACTTCATCAAGATGCTTGATTTTTTACTGACAACATATTTTTCACGTTTGGAGGGCTTGTTTCGCTTCTTTTTTCTAAATTATGATTTTTTTCAGTAAAGATATTGACAAATCTTTTAAGCATCCAGATTTCTCCATAACAGCCCTTGTACCATTATGAATATAGGACAAGGTTTTTAGCAAAGAAACGAAATTCATATGTGAAACAAGTGTGCTCCTGCTCTTGCCGACTTGTTCCATTAGTTGTACGAGTCAGACTTAAGATAGCTGCAACTTATAATGTAAAATGAAAAGAAGCTGGCATTTACCTTTAATTGCAAGTTCCAGTAAACAGACGATTTCCGATCACTGAATAATTTAAAGTTTGCTGAAATAAAAGATATCACAGCTTCAGTCAATTCTGCATTATATCTTGACTTGAATCTAGTAATTGAAATTTAGGGTCGGTCGAAAACTAAACTTTACGACAAAAGAAACGATTTAAATTATTCCATTCTGAACTTCCTATTTCTGTGTAGCAAACTTCCCAACAGCGGCTGCATATTTAGTGATGGTATATACATGTATATCTCCTAATTGATACGATATTCCAGGACTTGCATTTCCTATCATGATTTCCTTGATACAGGATTGTTGCTTACAAAAAAGCTTCTGAACTGAGGGTTCCAAATGGTAAAACCAAAGTCATCCCTTAGAAAGTTTTATGGAAGTCATCATGAATTGGTTGACTGTTAAGGACGATTTGTGTCACAGATATCTAAGAATTTGTTCCACTTGTCAAAGCAATGATACCATTTTCTTTTCATAGATTGTGACATTACCCAAATCGGCTTATTACTAAAATTAATCAATGCAACGAATAACATGACGGGTACCACTAGTGGAGTAGGAACTGTTTATCCTCGCGGAGCAACTATCTTTTCACCCTTATATTTGCGGGGTTAGTGTTGCTCAATCTTTCTTTTTCTGTTTGTACAGTATTTTATGGACTGCTGTTTTTATTGGTGATTTTGATAGCTTTCTTGTTATTTCCCCCGATTTTGTGTTTATTTCATCGAAGAAACCAAGAAATTGTGGACAAAATGATTCGTAACTCTAAAGTCATGAATTGGTATTAACATAATTTTGTTTTTATAAAAAATATACATAAAAATAACAACTTAAAGAGTTATTGATTGCAGTGTTTTTCGAAACGCCGACATATTCTTATATATATATATAAACACTTTATAAATTTGGTGCGTCCGAAGCCCTTTACTGGATAGCAAGTGCACAAACACGCGTTCTTCTTATACTGGTTTGATTTTGTTCTATACACATATACAGGTTTCTATGCCGTAGTGCAATGTCCACGCCGTTACTTAAATGAGGAATACAATTGTGTGTTAAGTATAGATTACATTATAAAGTGAACTATGCGCATTTGTATTTGCTGTATTATTCTTGTTATTTCAGTCAAACAGTCTAAGAGGAGCTGTGTTCACAAGGTGTCATTGTGGTAGAATGATACAAAATACAAAAACAATTCAATGTTCTATAACTCTCAGTTTTTGTGACTTCAAAACTTTTGTTTGAATGACCTACATGTTTTGACCCTGTGTTTCATCATTTTTCTTCTACCGCGGAAACCTGTGTCTCACAAGCGATTGTTGTCAGTTTAAAAGTGTAATGCTAAATACAAAAAAAAAGTCTATTTATTAATAAATAATTGAAAGATAAAAAACAAATAAAGCATTTTCATCAGGTGTTTTTCTTGATCATGAAGAAACTTGTCTTCTATCAAAGTTTAGTAAATTCCATGAAGGTTTGCCAGAGTTAATGATGTCTGAAAAAAACCCTAACTGTATGTTAATAATACCTGCAAAAAACGAAGTCAATGTGTCAGTAAAATACGGAAATAATTTAGGAAGAAGCTTCGGTACAATTCTTGCCGAAATTTGAATATATAATAACAATGTCAGGTATGTTTAAAGGACGTTTGGGTTCCGATCACCGATCTTAAACAGTACCATTATTGTACCCATAACCAATGTTTGGTAGCCATTGCGCTTTGATATAATATTTTAGATAAAAAACAAATTTATTAAATTTTTGTCAAATTTTCCAACTTTTTTGTACACGTTGCGACCATGTTTGAAGGCATTTAACCCCTTCGCCCCAAATCCCCCCTGCCGTCGTGATTGTAACCACCATTTAGTATGGATATACTGCTTTAACTACAAAGTAATAAATTAATGACAAAGAAACACGCTTTGGTCAAAGTTCACCTCTCAAGGTCCTATTAAAATCGAAAAATAAGACTGAAAATTACCATTTTTCAGCTGGGTTGGGTTCAAGCCCACCAAAAAATCTACCACCTCCCATTCCATCCCCCTTCCATGCAATCCACCCCAAATCTCAATACATAGTTTAATAGATCAGCATCAGTTACAGTATCAACCATTTTGCAAATGTTGGCAATTTTCTCGAAAATGCCTGAAATCGCTTCGGTTCGAATCTGTTAAACACAAAAATAAATATTTCCGATTTTCAACTTAAAAGAGTGTATTGGTCAGTTTTACACCCCAAAACGGCCCTGAAACCCAATGTAAGTCAAATTTAACGATGTTGATAAAATACGTTTAACCTGAAGTCGTGATTGCAACTATCATTCTTTGATAGCCAATTTGACCCTCCATACTATGATATTATTACGTGAGTATTTCTGTATTGGCCTTGTTATTGGTCCGAGGATTGCTGTATTGGCCAGAGGCGAAGCCGAAGGCCAATACAGCTGGCCGAGGACCAATAACAAGGCCAATACAGAAATACTCACGTAATAGTATCTTTATTAATTAACTACAGTGTTAC